ATGACCTGCACCATATATGTAACAATTGTGTAATATATATATATTTTAACTCGCGATTTAGAAATTATGATACGAATCATGAAAAGTTCGAGCTATTCGAGTTACGGGTTGACCTAAAGATAAACCTTAAAAATCCGCAATTATGAATATATAGTGCCTGAACTTTAATAACGTTTATTGGATAGTATGCATTACTTTTGATTTATGGTTTGTGACAATACGACAATGAAATATAACCTTAGGGTATTAGTTTGTTGTGATATCGTTGATAGTATACCAAATTCAATAAGTTGATAAAGTTTATGATTTATTTACTAACAAACTATGTAAATCATAATCATCATCGTTAGATTTAGCACGTTGAAATAGTACATCATGATCATCTTCAGAGTTTGAACTTGAAAGATGTAGATCTGTTAAAGGTAACGGGATATGAGCCATCATGTTGTTATTGCCAATTGGTTCACCATCATTTTGACCAGATCTCCAATATAAATCTATCAGACAGTTTGTGAAAAGGAATATTAGAAATGCAGTGCTCGCAAGAACCAATGCATATGAGAATGGATCAATGTCGAGTTGTGTTAGCAATGCAATTTGTTCAACAGTTGCACCCATGAAAAGAAGGCCTGAAAAAATTAACATCTAAGATTGAAAATTTGGTTAAGGAAAGCGATTTATAAATTAGTCAAATAATACGTGATAAAAAATATATATTGTAGGTGGGAACGGAATTTAAGTGGATTTGAAATTTCTTAATAAAATTATAATTTAGAGTATAATTTATTTTATATAAACTTACACCCTAATCTAAAATCCTAACAAATTCCAAATCCTTCCCACTTACAACATATACACATATATATATATATATTGCAATAGCTTACATAAGGGCCCACATAATTGAAAGGAACCAAAGTTTTTTCAGAGAAAATACAAATTTCAACTAGTCTTGCTAAACTAGCACCCATGAGCGCGTAGCCGAACATTGAATGAATCTTTGTGGATATTTCAGAAGACTGGGCATGTGAACTCATAGAATAACCGGTAAATAAAATTATAATAGCCGGCATTACGTTTCTTTTGCCATTCCTGGAAAGATAAACACCGACAGCACCCCCAGCCCACCACAATATTCCTAACGATGTATGCTATAAAAATATTAATAACCTTTTCATCAATGAATATATCATAAGTGAATGAACATACCTGTAGATCTCTATGGGACCAAACCGTCAACTTCAAAATTCAAGAATAAAAAATTCAAATAAAAATATAAAAAAATTTAAATAAGAATAAAAAAAATTTAAATAAGAATAAAAAAAATTTCAAATAAGAATAAAAAAATTTAAAAATAAGAATAAAAAAAATTTCAAATAAGAATAAAAAAATTTCAAATAAGAATAAAAAAAATTTCAAATAATAAAAAAATTTCAAATAAGAATAAAAAAAATTTCAAATAAGAATAAAAAAAATTTCAAATAAGAATAAAAAAAAAAAAAAAATTCAATTAAGAATAAGAATAAAAAAAAATTTCAAATAGACATCGAAACATTTCTAATTAAAAAAAATCTTTTTAAATAATACTTACATCACCTTCATGTTCAGTGAAAGTGTTTACAAATCCCCACACCATAATCATCCAACTGTCAAAATAATCTTGAGATTTCCCTTTACGTTGTAGCCATCCGGAGGCAAGTCTTAGCATTAAAATTAAAAAGATACCATATCCTATAAATGAAGAACCCATAATGAAATGTGCAACGCATTGCCCTAAATGTTCACCCCTATTATTTAGGAAGGAAATGAGTAGAAATTTGGAATTTTCGAAAACATCATATCCAAATTGAAATACGTACCTGCACCATACATTAGTAGTTATCACACCAAACACCATTTGTATGTAGCCTGTAACAGGTACAGCTATACCAACAAATTTATGAAATTTTTTGAATAAAGACCGAAACCATTTGTTGGGACCACTCGTTAAATGTAGTTTTAAATAAGCACCAACACTAACTTGACATATCAAAAGATAGATTAGATAAGGAGCAAACAATCCATGAATATTATTACTGGAGAATTGCCTTCCACCATGAGCATGACCAAGAAAATAACCAATTGTGGTGAAAATAGAACCGATTATCTGCACGGGAACATGCCAACGGGACTTACTAAGCCCCAGTACCATACCTTTCTCAGCATGGAGAAAGGTTAATAGTTAATAAAAAAATAAATACACATATATACATATATACATATATATTCATAAATTGACATACCAGTAGGAAATATTATGGCAAAAGCTAAGAACATTGAAGCAATGTGGGCCAAAAGAATTCCATCGATAGGCTCCAAGGTAGCGTTACCGTCATTAGTTTCGTTCGTTTCATGATGTTCATGAGCGGAAACAACATTTGTAAAAAGAACCGAGATAACGATAAGTAATAAAGATCGAAAATTTGAAAATAAAGTCATTTATCAAAAAGGAAAGTATTAATCCTGAAATAAAATTATGCACGTATTTTCTAGATTATATAACACCAAGTAATATCATACAGCAGAGACAGTTAATGTTACACATATATTAAAACTGGTGAGGGATTATATCTGATCACAGGCGGGAGGGATTCACTTTGGATCGGGCACTGTCTCGCTGTAGTAATATCATTACAGGTTTCGCATACCAAGTTCGTACAAACTGACAATCAAAATTCGTACATATAGCTAAATTAATACTCTGATTAAATAGTGATATCTCATAATCTACGTAGCAATGATAATTACGTAATTTTGATACCATTAGATTTGTCTTGTCAAGACGAATCCAACGGCAGAGTATTAATTTAGCTATAGTACGAATTTGATTGTCAGTTTGTACGAACTTGGTATGCGAAACCTGTAATACTAATTTGGTTGTACAGTATGTACAGGATGTAAATCCTGAATTCATTAAATGGCTGGTGATGATAATTAATGTTAATTCATTCAGATCTCAGATCATATTAAAAAAGATTTACTCTTTTATCGTTATCGTTCTAAACTACAATATGAAAATTGCTACTCTGTGACGAATAAATGATAAATTCGTTGAAAATCATGACTTGGTTGTTCTTATCCAAAACTATATAATCACGTACGTACGTACGTACGTATATTCGGATGATTCACCATATTTGCTTAGAAGTGATGCATTAATTACGTTATTTGGTATATTTGAGTTTGTCTGCCACATAAAATCATGTATATTTACGTATTAGAGGCAAAATTCCAAATTTGGATTTACTCATACAATTGTCACCTAGAGGCTTGTATGATGACTATGCATAATGCCAAGACATTGACAAGATTAATTAATTAAATCATCGACTAAATCATCGGCTAAATTGTTTCGATCCTATTTGTTAGAGGCGATTCGGATTAAATTCGGATCCTTTTTCATGTATCCGGTTACAGCTGTTATCATTGTTCCTGGGACACCTGATAAAAATTAACCGAATGATTGTTCTGCCGATTCGATAAGTTAT